ATTATTACTCTGCTAGTTTTCTACAACATTCATCATCCGCTCGGAAAAAAGAAGAGAACTACTAAAAAATCCAAAGTTACTCAAATGTGGCAAATTGTCAAAGCTTTCCACCATAAAACCCAAAAGATATACAGGTGAGGGCATTAGCTGTTTGCTCAATAAGTTCTGAGAAGCAAAGGATTGTGGGAAACCTCATGGTTGTCTTGGCAGGAACATCAGGATGCTAACTGATGGGAGCTAGGAAGCATCTTAATGCAAACATTCATCAGATGGAACGTTTCCTGAATGAAAGGCAAGAATAGATCCAGAGAGAGGTAATTAATTAATCCACAGCTCTTCATCTTTCTTATTTCTGTTCTAAAAGCATCCAACTAACCCCCCCCCCATAACCCCCCCAAATCCACACACTTCTTTCAGCTCTAATGTTTCCCTCTCCAGCTTATTGCCCTTAAGAAGCTGCTGTAAATGGAGTTTCTTTATCATCCCTTAGTAAATAAAGGACATTACACGTCTTTGAAGTGAAAATTAGTATTCTTCCTTGTATTTCTCAAACATAAACAAACAACAGAGAGGTAGTCTTTTTGTTTTCCATCTTCATAAGAGCAGCAGTATACTTCAGTCAAGGACGCTATTGTCATTTCCCCAAGTACCACTCCATCTCTTTTAAAAGAAATACCTTTTCCAGACGCTACATAATTCCAATTGCTTGTTGCTGTTGTTGTTGTTTATTGTTACAGTACAGCCAGCAGAGCTCGAAGCCTTTGATAAATGTTTGACTCTAAAAGCCTTTGAGGAAAGGGGAGGGAATACGTTCCTGACTGCTGTGAGGCTTTTAATGTGAAATAGTGCCAGACTCTTAGCAGAAAGCGAGGAAGCAAAGCAAACGCTAAATTGGTGTTTAAACTCGTAGCTTTTTATACCATCATGTTAAGTCGATTCCGCTGGAGTAGATAGAGATGACACATGGATGATGAGTGATTTTCTACCATTTCATATGAATACATTCAGCTGAGGATGAAAAGAACTGCAAACGTACGATAGCGGCTCTTTTTTTTTTTTTATTCAATCTATTTGGAGAAATTAAGTAACTTTTTTATCAAAATGTTTCCAACTGTTGTGTCTTTGTTGTTTTATAAATTGTTTATTGTTCAAACATTCAGGAAAAGTTGTATCATAAACTCTTTATGGTCACATTAAAGCTTATCTTATCTAGATTCATAGCTCTAATTGAATAATTAAAGAAGCTTAAAAACTATAATTATTCACATTATGTCATCAGAATCAGACCTCAGGAACATTTCTGTCACATCAGACTCAATCTCTTCCTCTGGATGCAATCAGCTGGTTTTCCTTAGATAGAAAACTTTGAATCAATCTGACTGGATGATCTGGTTGAACTGGAAAGTGACCTGAGATGACATGATGTGAATTGGAGCTATAGAAATAAACTGAATAGAATAATCACTATTCAAACATTCACTTTTCTGCTAGAATCATTTTATCAACAAGGATTGATTGCATGTTTACGTTTTCAAATCTTCCTATTATTTTTTAAATGAAACCAATGACTTTATTTTGCTAAAATGAAGTATTTTGATGATTTGTTGACAGATGTTATTTAGCTTAAAGCTATAAAGTAAAATAACACATCAAAAGCTGATATTGATGCTTTGTTAAAATAAAGTCTCATTGTTAGAGCAGATATCTCACTAAATGTTGGCGCTGACATCCTGAACTAACATGACGAACTTTAATCATGTAGAAACTGTTATTTTATAGAAATATACCAACAGTTGCTTTGATCTGAGGCAGAAATCAGTGAAACATTTAAATCCCAGAGGAAGATAAACAGGCTGAGCACTTTTTAAGCACTTTCCTCAAAAGAAGCTGTTTTGCTTGAAACATTCATTATTTGAATAAGACTGAAAGATAATTGTCAAGGTAATCTATAGTATATTATCTATAGTAATAAGTTATAAGTGAAGTTAAATGTTCTCTGCCATATTGGTTCCTTCTTCTCTGCTGCGGCGATGAGANAGACTGAAAGATAATCTATAGTATATTATCTATAGTAATAAGTTATAAGTGAAGTTAAATGTTCTCTGCCATATTGGTTCCTTCTTCTCTGCTGCAGCGATGAGATGTAGCAAAGAGCCAGACTCCTGCAAAAGCTAAAAGACGTGATTTAATTTATCTAACCTTAAACTTCAGAACTAAAAAGCAATTAAAACTCTTTTTAAAGGACTTAAATGTATCTGTTCTTTGAATGAAGAGTTTAGGCTCACAGAGCTTCAGCTGGTTGATAATATCTGATTAATGAGAAGGCAGCCTGGCATCCTCAGACACTATTTCATCCATTAGGATTCATTTAAACCTGTAATTTCTAAACATATGCTGAAGCAGTTCGGTCTAATTTTTGCTTTGCATTTTCAGCAAACACCGCTGTGTTTTTCTTTCACTATTTGTGTCAGAATGATTTAAATTAACGTGCCTATTATGAGAAGTAATTAAGCATAAGATCATTTGCCACGAGCACTGGAATAAAAACAAGACAATTTATAACTGCTTATACACTATTTCCTAAAAATGACTGAGTTTAAATTTTGACACTGGAAATACGTCAAATGTACCGATGCATAATGCAGAGTTAATATAATGTTAACTGAGAAGGAGTCCAACACATTTAATCTATGTCTAAGCTCAGCTTGTCTGAGTTAAAGGCAGCGTTCTTCTTCCCTTCATCCCGTCGTTTCTAAGAGTTGTCCTGAGAAAGGCAATTATTCTGTCTTCAGCAAAAAAACTGATTTTGGCAACAGCCCCAGTTTACCACTAATACTCATTTGCAGTTGGGAGAAAGTTATAACTGTGCTTGGCAGGACATTTTGAGCATGTTTTTTTTTTTTTATCTTTTTTTTAATCTAACCCTGCCACACTAAACAAATCCCAAAATAACTAAAATAAATGACTGATTTGTTCCACGTCACACTGACCGAGGAAAAACACCCAGTTTATGGTTCTAGTTGCAGAAAAAAATCATCCTACATCTATTCTGGTGCTTGTTTCCATTGGTTACTGCAGCTGTGTCTCACTAGAACTATACAAAGTAGATCAGACAGCTGATCCAGACGCTGCTGCCTGCGTCCTCACTAGAACTATAGAAAGTAGACTATCTATAGACTATCTATCACTCAGACAATAGATCTGAAAAACACTTCTGTTAATCTATAGATTTCTGAATTAGCTCAGAATTACAGAGACTTGTTGTCAGTGGATCGACAGCCAGACCAAAGTGCCAGGTGTCTGACTCTCCTGCAGATCACCCACAGAAAGCAGGGAAAGGTTATTGAAAATATGTTGAATCGTTCTCCCAGTTAATAATAATAATAACTGAACTTTATTTATCTCACATTGGAGAAATTCACCCTCTGCATTTAACCCCTCCCCTTGGGGAGCAGTGGGCTGCCACGGTGCGGCGCCTTGGGAGCAGAGTGGGGTTAAGGGTCTTGCTCAGGGACCCAGAGTGTTGGTCGGTGGGAAATGAACTCAGGGACCAAAGCGTCACCACTCCCCCTATAAGTTAGGCTTTCAGTCTAACTTTCATTCTATTTCTTTTAATAAAGAATCAGATTTTTTTCTATTTGTTAATCATTTATGCATAATCCTAATGTGTCACTTCTTTTTTCTCTCCATATATATATTTTTCTGCCTCCATGCCCCTCCTGTGCAGCACTTTCAGTTGTATTGCCAGAGAAATGTGTTATAAACTA